AGAAGGCATGGCAGCGCTTCCTGCGCGTCGTGGAGGACAGGGAGGCCGACGAGAAGCTGTTCGAGAGCATCGCCATGACGGCCTGCGCGGATGTGAACAAGGTGGACTGCGCCAAGCGGCTCCTGGGCGACCGCGTCGAGATGAAGGACCTGGACTGCCACTACAAGCTGGCCCACACCTTGCACGCGAAGTGCCCTGCCTCGCAGAGTCATCACTCCTCTGGCGGCTGGAACGGCTACAACATGAAGTTCTCCCGGGTGCTGCTGAACCTGTGCGAAGCGCAGGCCATGTTGGGCAAGACACCTGAGCAGCTGGCAAGCATCGTGGAGGATCAGTGCGCCCAGGCCAGGGGCGCTCAGCTGGTGGTGTAGTTCAGCAGACAAGCTGATGGCGAGTGAGGCCTTGCTGCCAACTTAATCCTGTGCTTTGCAGTCCATCTGCGAGCGAATATTTGAACTCTATAATTGCTTGGACTGGTTGCGAGTGTGTGCTTGGCACGCGCAACAGTGCTTAGCTGGACCCATGTCAGAGCTCTTAAATGCCGACTTTGAACGACAATGGTTCACCCAGCATCACGTCATCATCCCCGTGAAGGTTTCAGCAATGTATCATTCGCTTCCGCTGGTCTTTTGATATAGCTCAGCCCACAAACTTATGCAAAGGGCTGTTGGCCGTTGTTGCAATTCCCAAGATCTGGCCTGGTTTTGGATATCCAAGCGGAATGGATGAAGTTGTCTTGTTTCTATTCAGGGATCTTAAGCTCACAGCCAATTTGTGAGCACCAAGACAATGATCCCTCCTCACTAACTCTAACAAGGGAGCCATGGAGGGAGAAAGCCATGCAATTGTTGAAGGTTCCTCAGCTCCTGGTTATCATTAGCCGTGGCTGCTTTTCAAGGGCAAATTCAGGTATATGGGCCTTTGCCCAGTGCTATCATTTTGGAAATCAAGGTCTTCAACTTTGTTTGCTCGACTCTGATTTGTCCGTAGCCATTTTGGCTGAAGCAAATTTCGCGCAAGTTCTCTCGGCTATCTCAGCTCTCTCGCTCCGCCATGTTCCGCGCCGTGTCTGCTCTGCTGCTGCCCGCCGCCGCTCTGGCGGACAAGTGGGCCGTGATCGCGGCGGGGTCCGCGGGCTTCTACAACTATCGCCACCAGGCGGACGCCTGCCATGCCTATCAGATCATGCTGAAGAGTGGAGTGCCGGCAGAGAACATCATCCTCATGATGCAGGATGACGTCGCCAAGAGCTCTGAGAACCCATTTCCCGGCCAGCTGTTCAACAAGCCGGGGGAGGATTCTCCTGATGTCTACAAGGGCTGCAAGGTGGACTACGCCGGAGAGATTGTGACCGCGGAGCTTTTCATGAACGTGCTCACCGGCAACGCAGAGAAAGCCAAGGGGAAGGTCCTGAAGAGCACGGAGAAAGACACGGTCTTCGTGAACTTTGTGGACCACGGCGGCCCGGGCATTGTCGCCTTCCCCAACGGCCCCGTGCTGCACGTCAAGGATCTCTCTAAGACGCTGAAGACCATGCAGAGCCAGAAGATGTTCAGCCAAATGGTGTTCTACATGGAGGCCTGCGAGAGTGGATCCATGTTCCCGGACCTGGCAGATGACAGCAAGATCCTGGCAGTGACCGCCTCAAATGGTGAGGAGTCTTCCTGGGGCACCTACTGCGGCGATGAGGCGGTGGTCAAGGGCAAGAACATTGGCTCTTGCCTGGGTGATTTGTTCTCTGTGAACTGGATGCAGGACGACGACCTGGGCAAGCTCTCGTCCGAAACCTTCAAGACGCAGATTGCGAAGGTCACCCAGCTGACCAACAAGAGCCACGTCTGCAGCTTCGGCGACAAGTCCTTCGAGGACGAGGCCATCGGCAAGGTGGAGTCTCAAACCGCCCTGGCGGCCTCCGCGCCTCCCAAGCGCTCGGTGGATGCTCGCGACATCTACGTGAGCCAAGCCTACTGGGCCTGGCAACGAGCCGAGGGCGATGCCAAGCAGAAGGCCTGGCAGCGCTTCCTGCGCGTCGTGGAGGACAGGGAGGCCGACGAGAAGCTGTTCGAGAGCATCGCCATGACGGCCTGCGCGGATGTGAACAAGGTAGACTGCGCCAAGGGGCTCCTGGGCGACCGCGTCGAGATGAAGGACCTGGACTGCCACTACAAGCTGGCCCACACCTTGCACGCGAAGTGCCCTGCCTCGCAGAGTCATCACTCCTCTGGCGGCTGGAACGGCTACAACATGAAGTTCTCCCGGGTGCTGCTGAACCTGTGCGAAGCGCAGGCCATGTTGGGCAAGACACCTGAGCAGCTGGCAAGCATCGTGGAGGATCAGTGCGCCCAGGCCAGGGGCGCTCAGCTGGTGGTGTAGTTCAGCAGACGAGCTGATGGCGAGTGAGGCCTTGCTGCCAAATTAGTCCTGTGCTGTGCAGTCCATCTGCGAGCGAATATTTGAACTCTATAGTTGCTTGGACTGGTTGCGAGTGTGTGCTTGGCACGCGCAACAGTGCTTAGCTGGACCCATGTCAGAGCTCAAAATGCCGACTTTGAACGACAATGGTTCACGCAGAAACATGTTATCATTCCTGTGATATAGATGAACCCCCAAACTTCTGCAAAGGGCTGTTGGGCGTTGAAATTCACAAGATTTGGCCTGGTTTTTGGATGTCACCATGGATAAAGTTGTCTTGTTTTTATTTAGAGATCTGCTAAGCTCACAGCGAATTCGTGAGCACCAAGACAATGATCCCTTCTCACTAACTCTAACAGGGGAGGCATGGGGGGGGGAGAAAGCCATGCAATTGTTGAAGGTTCCTCAGCTCCTGGATATCGTTAGCCGTAGGTATATGGGCTTTTGCCCAGGGCTATCATTTTGGAAATCAAGGTCTTCGACTTTGTTTGCTCGACTCTGATTTGTCCGAAGCCATTTTGGCTGAAGCAAATTTCGCGCAAGTTCTCTCGGCTATCTCAGCTCTCTCGCTCCGCCATGTTCCGCGCCGTGTCTGCTCTGCTGCTGCCCGCCGCCGCTCTGGCGGACAAGTGGGCCGTGATTGCGGCTGGGTCCGCGGGCTTCTACAACTATCGCCACCAGGCGGACGCCTGCCATGCCTATCAGATCATGCTGAAGAGTGGAGTGCCGGCAGAGAACATCATCCTCATGATGCAGGATGATGTCGCCAAGAGCTCTGAGAACCCATTTCCCGGCCAGCTGTTCAACAAGCCGGGGGAGGATTCTCCTGATGTCTACAAGGGCTGCAAGGTGGACTACGCCGGAGAGATTGTGACCGCGGAGCTTTTCATGAACGTGCTCACCGGCAACGCAGAGAAAGCCAAGGGGAAGGTCCTGAAGAGCACGGAGAAAGACACGGTCTTCGTGAACTTTGTGGACCACGGCGGCCCGGGCATTGTCGCCTTCCCCAACGGCCCCGTGCTGCACGTCAAGGATCTCTCTAAGACGCTGAAGACCATGCAGAGCCAGAAGATGTTCAGCCAAATGGTGTTCTACATGGAGGCCTGCGAGAGTGGATCCATGTTCCCGGACCTGGCAGATGACAGCAAGATCCTGGCAGTGACCGCCTCAAATGGAGAGGAGTCTTCCTGGGGCACCTACTGCGGCGATGAGGCGGTGGTCAAGGGCAAGAACATTGGCTCTTGCCTGGGTGATTTGTTCTCTGTGAACTGGATGCAGGACGACGACCTGGGCAAGCTCTCGTCCGAAACCTTCAAGACGCAGATTGCGAAGGTCACCCAGCTGACCAACAAGAGCCACGTCTGCAGCTTCGGCGACAAGTCCTTCGAGGACGAGGCCATCGGCAAGGTGGAGTCTCAAACCGCCCTGGCGGCCTCCGCGCCTCCCAAGCGATCGGTGGATGCTCGCGACATCTACGTGAGCCAAGCCTACTGGGCCTGGCAACGAGCCGAGGGCGAGGCGAAGGAGAAGGCCTGGCAGCGCTTCCTGCGCGTCGTGGAGGACAGGGAGGCCGACGAGAAGCTGTTCGAGAGCATCGCCAGGACGGCCTGCGCGGATGTGAACAAGGTAGACTGCGCCAAGGGGCTCCTGGGCGATCGCGTCGAGATGAAGGACCTGGACTGCCACTACAAGCTGGCCCACACCTTGCACGCGAAGTGCCCTGCCTCGCAGAGTCATCACTCCTCTGGCGGCTGGAACGGCTACAACATGAAGTTCTCCCGGGTGCTGCTGAACCTGTGCGAAGCGCAGGCCATGTTGAGCAAGACTCCTGAGCAGCTGGCAAGCATCGTGGAGGATCAGTGCGCCCAGGCCAGGGGCGCTCAGCTGGTGGTGTAGTTCAGACGAGCTGATGGCGAGTGAGGCCTTGCTGCCAACTTAATCCTGTGCTCTGCAGTCCATCTGCCAGCGAATATTTTAACTCTATAATTGCTTGGACTGGTTGCGAGTGTGTGCTTGGCACGCGCAACAGTGCTTAGCTGGACCTATGTCAGAGCTCAAAATGCCGCCTTTGAACGACAATGGTTCAGGTTTCAGCAATGTATCATTCGCTTCCCACAAACTTATGCAAAGGGCTGTTGGCCGTTGAAATTCACCAGATTTGGCCTGGGTTTTGGATGTCCTAGCGGAATGGATGAAGTTGTCTTGTTTCTATTTAGGGATCCTAAGCTCATCGCCAATTCGTGAGCACCAAGACAAAGATCTTTCCTCACTAACTCTTACAGGGGAGCCATGGGAAGATATCCATGTAATTGGTGAAGGTTCCTCAGCTTATGACCATTAGCTCCAGGTATGGAGGTTATGTACCACACAAAGAACAAAATGTCAAGAAGCAAACAAAGCACGGGAATATTATATATATATATATATATTATATATATATATATATTATATATATATATTATATATATATATATCATATTATATTATCTATATATATATATATATTATCTATATATTATATCTAATAGTGCCTTGCGCTCGTGTTGGTGGTATATTTTCACCTCCATGCCTCCAAAACCTCTTTCGAGGTCATGAAGAAGCAGCTGGAGAGCTCCAGAAACAGCGGCATGGACTGCGCCATGATGGTCACGGGCTCCGCGCTGGAGCAGGTGACCAACGGAGACCTCACCGAGGAGAAACCGGCGCGAGGAATTTGGTTAGGAATATGTTTTATTTTCCCCTGTTGGTTTAAAAGGGAGTCTATCACGACCGGCTTGAAGTAATTTTTCCAGGGGACTCCAGCAAATGGAGGACGTGGGTCAAAATGAAATCATCAGGAATTGCGCCGCCTGTTTTAGTCATGGGCAACCCATTTACCAGGGCAACCCATTTTGGGGTTACCCCATTTTTAACCCACAGCCCATGTATGTCTTGGCGCGTGGTGGCGGGAAACCAAAGCGGCAAACCACAGCAGGGGGGTTCTTTCTTCTTCTTTTTTTTTTCTGGGGGGGGGGGGGCGTAGCATAATATCAAACATCAAAATATGGGACAGATAATCAAAATATCAAACATCAAAATGTTGATCAAGATATTGGGACAGAAAGGGGGCACACATCCAAAATAAGGGCTGTCTGCCAGCTGCCAGGGGCGGGACACTGGGAGCGCAACTTGAGCTCCGCGTCAAGTCCGGGCCAAGGCTTTCATTGACGTTTCGATCAATTCCCCACGGATCCATGGCTTATTAGCCAGTGAATAGCTTGCTTGGCTCCCAGCCATCCGGTTCCTGAGCCTTTTAGCTTCTTTGAGGCTTAGTGGGGCTTCCATTTCACCCACCAAAGGTTCAGCTGTTCGCAGGGCATCTGAGGGCAGCCAGGTTGGGTTGTCATCCAGATGGGCGATCGATGTTTGCAGCTTGCGGGCTTTGTCTCAACCTAATTAAAAGGCCTCAAACGGGACTTACCTTCGGTTTTCCTTTCGAACTCGTTTCCCGTCCAGCAGAGGCAGTCGGATATTCTAGGGGTTGATTCCCCAGTCTATTCTTTTCAGCCATCGTTCTTTTTCAGAAAACCAGCCATTTCCCCGGGGTTTTTGGTGGTGTTCTAGAAAGGCAGATCCCTGGCAAGAATGGGGAAGTTACCCCTAGAGACATGGTTTCAGATGTCCACCACGAGCGGTTCCTCAAAAGGTGGCTCCGCGCAGATCTCCAGCATTGGCGCGCTGCCGTTCTTTACGTGCGCGGTGGAGTCTAGAGGTTCAAGACTTCATGGGTGGACGAAATCCGTTCGCACCACTTGGAAACCATGGGAAACCATTGTTTGTTGGTACTTACAAGGGAAACAATATGCCAGGGCTTCTTAGGTGGTGCGAAATGGATTTGGTCCACCCACAGTATGAACAGCCGAAGTCCAATCGGGAGGGCAGCAACCCGGAATCCCTCCGCCTGGACGGCGGAGGTGTGGTTGGCTCCCACGGGTCCATCCAGCCGGAATCCTTTGGACCAGAGTTCCTGGAGTGAGGTTTCCTTTTTGCTTCCCAAAAGAACACAACCACCTTGAAAGAAACTCAAAACAAATGCCCAGCCGCCCAGCTGACAAATGTCTGGAGTCAACCCACCAAAAGGGGCTCAAAAACAAATCCGAAGCGCCCAGCTGACAAACACCTGGAGTCAGGAGTTTGTTTCAGGTGCATTGCTTTTCAGGGGTCCTTAAAAGATACATTTTGCCCATTTGAAACATGTGTTTTTTCCCCCAAACAAAGGGACACCACCATTTACAAGTTGCAATGTTCAGGTGTATAATGTAAGGATCCCAGTTTGTTTTTGAGGAGTTCTTCGAGGTGTCCCAGGTCTGCAAGGTGGTGGTCGCCTGCCGGGTCTCCCCACTGCAGAAGAGTCAGCTGGTGCGGATGGTCCGCGAGTCCACGGACCCCCAACCAGTACCTCGGCTGAAGGGCCGGAGAAAGGGGGGGGTCGACAACGGGGGTGTTGCTTTTTGGGGCTTTCTTTGCAGGTGGCACAAACTGCCTCGGGTTCGCTTTGACCCCGATTTCGCCGATTTGCTTTGCTGGTTGGCAATATGCAAAGGCACTTTGCATATTGTCAACCAGTGAAGAGATACCCTGCAAGTGTAGAACCACCTGTGAAGAGGGTTGGTTGGTTCATTCCCTGAAAATGGAGTAGAAAGGTTCAGAGGCTAGACAAGGTGACCGGTTCTGGGAACCCCTGCTTTGAATGAGTTTGTTTCTTCGCCGCTTTGTTTGATAATAAAACCGATTTGACCCATGTTGAGTCGTGCCGAAGGTTCTGGCAGAAGTGAGGTGACTCTTGCCATCGGCGACGGCGCGAATGAGACTTTGCCGCACAAATGGCTTCTGCTTGGCTAGCATGAGGTGACGAAACAAACATTGCTTCTTCTATGTTATGCACGAGAACCTCCCCACCCAGGATTGGCTAAGAGTCGATGTGCTTTACACATCCATGGCGTCTTTTTTCGAGAGAAGCAATTGTTGTTCAAGTCGCGCAACCGCAATTGTATTATTCTTAGTGTACTCCAATGATCAACGTTTAACCAGAAACATGTTCCTCAATATTTCCTGCATGTTTGGATCAAAGCCTTTGAGTCGAACCTTTCTCTGGCCACCCGGAAAACGGACAACTTTGATGAGAATCCATGAGAGTTGAGCGACTGGATTCCCACACAAGCCCCTGCGCCCGTCACCCACTAGGCAGAGCTCGCCGACTTTGGTTGCCATTTTAAGCAATCCGGGGAGTGACCAGCTACTTGAAGTGCCAAAGGCACTAGAATGCACTACGTATTAGGCCAAACCACCATGAAAGGTCATGGAAGACTCGTGTTTGTAATGCTCTCTTGCATTAGGGGATCCTGTGGGCATTGCTGTCTTCCAACCCCTTAGCAAGGCTTCAGGCGCTTGGCTTTAGGCGCTTGACGTTCAGCAACCAGTTTGATCCCAAAGGCAGCATTGGGTTCGTGAAATGGGGCCTTCGGAGTGGTTTGTATCTATATGTCCCAGGACCGTTGGGTCCTCCCTAGCTCAGCGAAACGTGGGCAAACACGAGCTTGGGGAAGAAAAAGACGCTTGTAACTTATGTTCTTGAATCCAGAATTTTAATACCTGCGATGGTTTAGTTTTTGCCACGGATCACCGAGCCACGTGAGCGCGTTCTGAGGACGTGCCGATGATCCAGGAGGCGCACGTGGGAGTCGGCATCTCGGGCAAGGAGGGCCGCCAAGCTGTGAACGCCGCAGACTTCGCCATCGCCCAGTTCCGGCGCACGCCTCGGCGCTGGGCGAGCCCTGGGAGCGTTTCACAAGGCTACTGTGGATGGACGAAATCCTGCACCACCTAAGAAGCCCTGGAATGATGATTCCCTTGTAAATACCAACAAACAATGGTTTTCCATGGTTTCAAAGTTGTGCAGGATTTCGTCCATCAACTGTAGGATGTGGATTTTTGACCCCCAGGAGCGTGGGGGTCTAAGCATGCTATCTTCACAAATCCCCACCAATTCCGTGATTCCAGCACTGCCAAGCAAGTTTAGCATCGATTTGTGCACTGCCTTGGGTTTTCAGCATGGTGGTTTCCATTAGGCGCTTCCCTTCATGGTTTGGAAACATCTGGCAGATGCGACTTTTCTCTGAATGTGGAATGGAGTTCCTATTCACCTCGCGCCCTCATGCGTTGGGCCCGCTTGAACTCCCGTGATACCCGTCTGGGCTTCAATGTGAGTGTTTGCTTGAAAAGTACAACCAGTTGGAGCCCCGCTGTTCACAGGTTTCTGGAGCGGCTGCTGCTGGTTCACGGTCGCTGGGATTACCGGAGGACATGCAAGGCACGGTCGGCCGTCCAGCAGAGTGAATGCATTGAAGGGCTTGGAGCGGGGTGGTTGACCTCTGACGTAGCTATTGTGAACCAAGCCCTGATGAATGCAGAAGCGCCATGCTTGTTTCGAAGACTGGTGGTTGTGAGAACGGACCGATTTGGTCTAAATGTGTATCCAGGCTTGAAGACAGGATGCTTTGCCTTCAGAAACGCTGTATGTCCGAGCCCTGCGTTTGGGAGTTATTGGGATACGTAGTCATTAACCCCTCAAAACCCCAGCCCTGGTCATTAGGGCTAAGCACCAAATTTTGCAGATCAGATTCAAGTCGATGAACAGCTTTCGCCTAGCCGGATCTCTTTAAGGTTTTTTCATCAATTACTTGCATCACTGCCAGGTGATTCTCTACACCTTCTGGAAGAATGCCATCATTACGATGCTTTTGTTTTACTACACGTTCTACTCGGGGTACTCGGGGACCTGCATGTTTACCAGCACCGTGTGGACCTCCTTCAGCATGATCCTCTTCTTTCCCATCATCGCCACTGGCATGCACTTTGGCAAGCAATGGATCAGCTGAATCAGAAATTAGGAGACATGGCCATGGGTCAACACCAATGGTACCATTTTGGTTAGTAGGTGAATTCATCCATGATAGTCTATATTAGTGGGGATTGGGATCACTGGGGGTACGATTTGGGTTTTGACCCATAGGCACATGTGTGTTCTTCGCACAAGTCGATTGTTTGTTGTTTCCAAAAGCTTTAAGATGCATGGCGACTTGGCGAATGCACGACTTGGTTTTACTTTGATGCTTCTTTTCACCCGCTTGCGCTAGACCGCTAGACGCCAAACACACCCAGCGCGTTTGCAACTGCTCCCAGCCTAGGCTTCCGAACCCAAGAGCCTCCATTCTTCCCGGACCTGCCCCAACTGCCACTTCCCTCCTCCGTAACCGCCAAAGGGCTACCGCTTTCCAGTTAGGGAAGGCCTTAGCCGAGTCTTGGGTCTTGGGTCATGGCTTGCCCTTCCGGCGAGAGGCTGAGATTGCATCCGTTTTGTGTTTTGGAGGGAAAGGTGACAATAGAAGTGACCAAAGCAAAAGGTTTCTCTGTGGCAAATAGTTGCACAACAGGCAAGCGAATAAGTGCACAAATGCTTGACAAGTAGCTTGCCAATACCTGGTCACCAAAAGCCGGGTTGAGAAGTTTTGTCGGGCAGACGGTCACACGTGCTCGGGCCCACTGGAAACTTATTCTGAGTGCTTGCTCGCTCAACTTTCTGGTTCCCAGCCATCCCCTTGTGTTTTGAGCTTTTCCGGGTTTAGTGGCAGTTTCCACTAAGCCACTATTTGCTAGATTTTTAACAAAGGATCTGGGAACAGCCCTGTCAAATGAAGGGAGAGTGGGTGCACCAATCATCATTCCTCGATTGCAGTTCATGTGATCGGAATGGTAAGGCCACACAAAATAGCACTGACAATGTTCATCGATCCGTATAAAGTTCCGATACAGTTGCAGCCATGCAACCCAAACGTTTACGTCCAATGTGTAGCAGCTCATCTACTGAGAATCAGACCCCATCGGAGAACTTGGCCTGATTTGAGCGGCCTTAACTAGCCAACCCAGCCGGAGCCAGCCCAGCCCGGTCAAACACGCCAAGCCAACCATCGAGCGGCACTATGAACAAATCCAATCCGAAGGTTTTCTTTCTGAGTGGGAGCAGCTGCTAATGAAAGAGCGACAACCGCAGCACCAGCGAAACACTGCCAAAACAACCACACCGAGTTGTTGCAAGCAAGGGACCCTGACTCAGGTTGGCTGACTTGCATCATCCAGTGAAACAGGGTCAAGCGAGTTCCACAAGATACCCACGTTTAGTTTCGGTTGCCTTTGTCACTTGGTTGTTTCCGAGTGTGTGTTGCTTGTTTGGAGTCACAATAGCGCTCCCCTCCCCTGTGCAAATATATCCACTTGGGGTAACCAGTTGAGAAATCGACAAAAGTCAGCCAAAGGGTGAATACTAGCGAGTCACCTGCATAATTGGGCCACAGGTTGACAAACACGGCCACCAAGACCGGCTTGCATCGTGCAGAGTATTTTCCAAAAATATATTTGACCTCCGGTTGCGGAGCCCGATCCGGTTAAGATTATGTTTGTGAGCCAAAGGTGTGCAGCGCAATAGTGGGCGTTGATCACAAAGCTACGGAGCATGAAAGTCTATTGAGGACCATAATCTTCTGACAGCTCCGCTTGCTTTGGCTTCGAATCATTTCTGGTTGGGGGGGCAGGTCTTTGGGGGTTTGGATGGCCTGAACTTCGTTGCTCTTTCTTGTTTTTCCCAAAGGTGCATTTCGGTGGAGTCAACCTCAGCCCAAGTTCTGATTCATGTTCTTGATCTCAGTGTCAGTTGTCCGAGGTTTCTTGGGAAGGACTTTTATTAGGGACCCTGTGGACTTCATTTACATGGGGCTTGATGTTTGCCAACCATTCTTGTTGCTACAGTTCAGCTTTTCCCTCAAACCTGGCACCCTGAATCTACACTCCTATTCTTCCATTTCGGGGTCCGCTCGGGAGCTTCCATGGAATCGCCTGGGGGAAGGTATAGTTGAAAAACCCACCTCGGCAATGCCATTGGACAGCCATGGCAAAACACCACAAATGTGACCAATCCAATCACAGGCCGTGGGGAAATTGTGGTGGATGGTGTTCTTTGTTTTTAGACCGCCCAGCGATAAAAGCGTTGGTGAAGCCTTATGTCCTTGGCAAAACCCAATCCATCGGTTCTTCTGGTCGATGGGCATTGGATGGGTTCCCCATGGCTCAGCTTCGACCGGGACGTCACGGACCTACAGGCGGTGGAGTATCCGGCCCTCTACGAGACAGGGCGGAAGGGCCTGGATCTGAACCTCATGACGCTAAGAAGAACGGCTTAATCGGTTTTTTGCTTCGAACAAAAATAGGAGAAAAAAAGGAAAACAAACATCGGCCAACTTTGCCAATTTGTTCCCCAGATAACTGAGTCATGACTCTATCACGCTCGGACAAGCCAGTACTGCATAGCCATAGCATAAATCATAGCATGTCATGTACTTGGCGTGGCTGGTGCTTTGAAAAACCGCTTGCTAAAGAGCCGTCCTTTCCGAAGATAGTCCATCATGCATCCGTGGGAATCGCCAGCCAGTCGGGTCCACTTCTCATAGGCTCCCCAACAATCTCTTTGGCTGTATGTCCCATGACTGCCCTGCGCAGGCCTTTTCCCAAAGGTTCTAATCCCAAAGGTTCCAACTTCTAATAAAGGGGGAAAGTGATTTGCGGGATTGATGGGCTGGTGCTAGGGGGCATGCAGTTTGGGGTGCTGGTGTAGGTTGGGGTGCTGTTTCAGGTGCTGATGGCAGTGCGGGCGCATCTTTTCAATCTTGACGGTAGGGTGCTAAGGGGCATGCAGTTTGGGGTGCTTGTGCAGGTGCTGTTTTGGGGGGGGGGGGTGACGGTGCGCGCGCATTTGTTGCATCTTGATTGTAGGACGAAGGGGGGAATGCAGTTTGGGGTGCTGGTGCTGATGGTACTGTGGGACGCACTTTGTGGGGAGCTGTTTAAGGTGCTGGTGTCGGTGCGGGCGCATTTTTGCGATATTGACGTTCGGGTGCTATCAGGCATGCAGGTGACGGCGCAGGCGCATTTTTGCATCTACACGGTAGGGTGCATGGGGTGCTGGTTGATTTTTGCAAGATTCACGGCTGGGTGTCGGGGGGGGAACTGTTCGATTGACGGCCGGGTTTTGCTTGGGGCGTTCTTCGGAGGGGTGCTTTTCGAGCTGGTGTGCAAGCGCTGCTATCTGGGGTCTATGCTGGTGTAATTTTGTTTTTGTGTGATGTTCAGCTAGGGCTTAGGAGGATCCCTGCGTTGTGTTGTTTCTTTTTTCTTTTTTGACAGCTGGGCCCTTGTAGGTGTCCCTTTGTAGGGTGGCAGTTCTTTGCCCTGTGTTCAATATAGAATTTGCCTGCCTTTGTAGCTGGCCCCGCTTTTTGCAAGGTGAACATCTGGCTCTGTGGTTTGCCCCTTTTACACGGAGCAGGCGTTGGCGCTGTAGGGTCAGTTGTTTCTTTGAGCTTACCTTTTGGGAGGTTACTTTGAGCAAGGCAAACCTTCGCCAGGATTTCCCATGCAGTTTTTCCTGAGCAAATCCAGTTGGGCGGCATGACAGCTGACTAAAACCAACAAGGCAAACATATGACGCGCTGCTTCCACATGAGACCTATAGGCTTATTTGAGCCTAAACCATGGACTATTCACGGCAACCTGACAGAAGTGAGTCGTATTTGCTGAAGGGGTCTTGGCAAGGAAGATGATCGAGATGCTGCTGTCGGCTTTTGCCACTGAGATGCATCTCCAATTCGCTTCGGCGTGACGTACTCAAGCAGGGGTTGAAGAGCTGCGGAGCGAGATCCTGTTTGTTGCTACGTGGGTATCTTTTCAAGCAAGCCAAAGACTGGTGCTTCTTTTGTCTCCCATGAACAAAGCCGAATAGGTGAGAGCACAGGCAAGCTTGATTGGGGAGACATGAATGGCTGGCTTCCTTTTGCAAGCGAAGGCCAGTGAGACCAAAGGACCAGATTTTGACTGAAGGACTCCGGATTCCACTATTTGTGGGGAAGGCCCAAATTAAGAAGGGAAGCCTGGGACAAAAAATGGGGTCCATCCCTGAATGAGCCCAGGATAAGCTGAGGAGGAGGACGTCAGGAATGGATTCACCCTCCCTTTGCTCAGGGAGTTTCCTTGATTTCAAGCATTGCCTAGAGTTCGACTCCATGTTGCAGGGGAAGCAAACAGGTCGCGGCCCCCGCTGATCCCTCCAAACTGGACTCCAAACTCTTGGTTCTACCTCTGGTGTCCATTTAATTCCACAAAACATATTCACTTCGAACTTCTAACAAGGAAATATGAAAAGGGACAGCCCAGGTTGTTACAAAAATAGGACTCCGGAATCTTCCCCTGTTGGTTTTAAAGGGAATCAATCACTATTGGATACTTGGTGGCTCCCAGTCATCCCCTTAACTTGTTTGCCTTTTAGTGGCTAGTGGTAGTTTTTCGTTTAACCCACTAGAAGTGAGTCACTTTTCGCGGGGGATCTGAAAACGGGCAGCCCAGTATATATTTGTCATTTTTCCGGATGGAACCCTGGTAAATGGAACCAATGACTAAAACCTGTGGTCCCCTGGTGGTTTAATTTAACCCACACCCCTGTATTTCTCATTTGTCCAGAGGTTCTCCCACTTTATTCAACTGCTTCGCTATAGTTTTCAGGTCCAGTGATTATGACGGTGAACGATGGCTGAAAAGAATGGGGAATCAACGTCCCCCAGAAGATTTTTTTCATTTTGCCCGGAGGTTTTTCCCCAAAAAAATAATCAACCCCTAGAAGATGGTTTCATGTTGCCCGGAGGTTTTTCCCCAAAAAACTCAAAAGTCGACTGCTTCGCTTCTTGCTTTCAGGTCCACTCCTTCGTGATCATGACGGTGGCAGTGATCAGCTTCGGGGATCTGGACATCGGCGCCACGGGCTCGTACTACTCCTTCAGCTTCATGATCTTCACCTGGGTGGTGCTCACCATGCGCCCTGGTTGAGGCGAAAAAAGAAAACAGATTCGGGGATGGATGGATGGATGGAGGGAGGGAGGGAGCATGGATGGATGGATGGATGGATGGATGGATGGATGGATGGATGGATGGATGGATTTCTGGTGTCTTGGGGGGTCCCAGCCATCCGGTTCCTTGGCATTTTGTAGGGGTTCAGTGGTTGGGTTTCCTTTCAACCCACAAGTTATTCACTTTTGGCGGGGGATCTGAGGACAGCAGCGTCGTGTGTGTTGGATTTTTGTTGTATCCCCCTTTAGCCGGGTGCTTGAAAAGTTTAAAGAAAACCCAAGGGAAAACAGCCCCAGTTTTGAGGTGCCTCCATTTTGACGCGAGGCCCAATCTATAGGGAGTTCCACATCCAGTACAGTAGAGGCCTCTGTACTATTCTCATGGTTTGATCTGGGAAATTCATGTAGTTGGGTTCTCATGATTTCCAGGTAGGGAAGGGGGTAGATTAGTTAGGGGGTTATTAGGCTTCACTTGTCAGAATCAAACATGGCAGTTGCACGGCAATTTGAAAGGAGTGACCCTTAGGTACCGCAATGTGCTGACGTGGTGTATGTGAAAACATGTGTGCAATCGTGTGGGGAAGGGGTATCATGAACAGATGCGCGAACATTGATATGTTCTTGGTGCTGAGGAATATACATGACGAAGAGGATTCATTCATGACTCATGGTATGTTCACGTCACGGCCTGCTGGTTGGAAGGCTGGTTGGAAGGGTCCTTTGCAGGTGTGGGGGGGGGCAAATGGATTTATGTGGGGGTCAAAGGGTTGCAGTTAGAGTCCACTTATGGGCAACCAGTTCAATTCCACTTTAAGGAGTGGCGCGTGAATAGGTTGCTTCAGCATGGGTGGACTATGTTGGCGACGGTTCTTGGTTTCGGCTGTTCATCTTCCCGGGTGTTTGCATATTTTGACAAAACCATTGAAACATGTGGAGCAACATGCGGCCCTGCAGGTTTTGTTTCCACGAAAGAAAGCCAACAGCTCAGACAAGCAGGACTGCCACCTTGCTTCCTATCTCCATGAAACGAAGACTGGTGACCAAGGGTAGAGACTGGACCAAACATACTCTGTCTCTCATTCAACATTTGGTTATGGGTCAAAATTTAACCACCAGGGGACAACAGGTTTTAGTCCATTTACCAGGGGTCCATTTTGGGTACCCATTTTTGACCCGCAGCCATTTAGGAACTACCGCGCCACCTTTATCACCACGACCATCAACTGGATCTTTCTGGCTGCCCTGGCCGTGTCCTTTGCGACCTATCTGCTCTTCGCGGTGGTCTACACCAACGTGCCCATGATCTTTCCAGAAGTGCAGCTTGCTTGGATCCGGGCGTTGGCGGGTTGGGCTTTTAGCGGGGCATGCGGATTCCCATATTTTGGGCGAGGGATGGTTTGGTCTCTTGCCGTATATTAGTATGGCATTTGATGGAGTACTTTTTTGGACCACCTGTATCTGATTTCGAGAATGTGGACGCCCCAGCAAAAAGAGTGTTTCACGCATGTTAAGTTGCCTCCCGACAAAGTCTTGCCTTCGAAGGGAGCGGGGAACCTGGCGACACCTTTTAAGATTGCAGGGACTTCTCCAACATGGACTTTTGAGTCAGGTGTTTGCGGACAACAAAGGAGGCAGGAACAGATCAAGGCCAAGCGGAACGCCTTTTTGATGTGCCAATAACTTGCACATGTCGAATGTGGTGAACGCATCATCAACCAATCGGGATGCCTGAGTCTTCAATGCGCAGATCGCCCTAAAAACCTTTGCTTACAGATCCTTGAGCTGCTGAGAACAAGGCACCTTGGAATAACAGCCACTATGATGGAATATTCAATGTGTTTAAGGATCACCTCCAGACTTTCATTTGACAAAACCTTGGGATCAGAAATGCTAGTGGGTCGGTCTGTGTGTGTGTGTGTAAAAGTGTGTCAGCAGCTAGGCATTTTCACACCCTTGGCACATTGCTTGCAGTCGAAGCATGCCTTTCTTTTGCCTACCAGAAGAAAAAAGGCCCCACGTTTCACTCTGCAAAGCACCAGCCCCCTCCCAACATGGAACGTGCAATGGAAGGTCGTGTTTTTTGCTTTCCTCGAACAAGTGGGGTCAACTTTCGTGCCGGGCAGGACTTTGTTTTGTTCTCACACACACACATCCCCAAGCACCTTGACCACGTTCCACAACCTTCCAATGTCTCCAACACTTCTTCATGCTCGGGCCAGTCGTTATCCATTTTGCCGATAGTGGTAACCATCAAGAACGGCCAACCTAGAAGTCGAAACCCTGGTTGGTGGCTTAGGTATGGGCTGCTGATGCACGTCTTTGGGCAGTCTACCTTCTGGATGGGCAGCGTTGCAGTGCCGACGCTGGCCATGATCATCGACATATTCAAGGCCGAATCGGTGTGGCGCGGTGCGGAGATCTGGTTTTGGGCGACGTTTTGTCAAAGTGCAGTGACACCGAATTGAGCAGTGCGTTGTCCTTACGCCTTGGACCGAAACTCAAGGATCAGTGTTCCATGCGCTTCTGTTGCTCTCTCGCCTGCTGTAGCAAAGTCATACCCGCCCCACCTCGGTCCATTCACCATACAAGACTGTTTGGTTCATGTGCACGTGTGTGTTTGTGTGTGTGTCTACACAGCACAGGCAAAGTCCAAGTGTACTGAGGCGAAACTGAGCAGGCCATGGCAGATGGCCATTTATGACAGCCAAGCACTTGTGAAATTAGATGCGGCACTCAGCCTCTACATTGCTGAAATATTTTATGTAGCCATGGTGTGCAACAGGGAACACAAGCAAAACTGGTTGGCGGACACAACTCTGCACCCAAATTATGTTTACAATTGATAGATGGGCAACACGCTGACCATGCCACATCATCAAACATAGGGGCGGCGCATCTCATTTGGCTAGTGGGGCATGTGCTGGCCACATCAACCTCGAACAAGTCCAGGTCATTAGCTGGTTGATATCGCCTCCCTCAAGCAGGATTGCGTGTGGTTGGAGCTGCAAGGATTCCTATGCGGGCAACGAGACCCAATACCTCATGTCCAACAGCTTGACTAGCTCCTTGCATCGTGCTTTCAAAAGCAGGTAAACCAGTGTCAC